AGGTCTGCGGAGGCGAGCGGGCAGCAAGAGCCGCCGCCGGCTGCCCGCCCGCGGCCCCGCCATGGGAGCCGGGCACGGAGCGAGGCTCACCGCCCCGAGCCGCCGGCGGGGCTGAGCGCGGCGCCAGCGCAGGTACGGAGGGAAGGAGGGAGGGAGGGCGGCGCCGGGCACGGGGGACGTGGCTGGGCTGGGGAAGGGGCCGGCCCGGCTCCCTCTCAGCCCCACCGGGAGGGGGTCGGGTGGCGCTGCCCGGCCCTCCGGAAAGTTTGGGCGRGCGGCGCGRAGCCCCGGGGCCGGGCGGGACGCGGTGCCCTGCGGTGCCACCGCCGAGGATCGGGGACGCGCACGAGGGGCAGAGAGAGAGGCTTTTAAATGGCTTTGGGGAGCGGTACCGCGGAGGTGGGGTCGCGCTGGGAGGCTGCAGCGGCACTGCYTGTCGTGGCCGGAGTAGTGTACGTATTTTGGTTTGGGATTTTTTTTTTTTTTTTCCGATTTGGCGTGCAGTGTTTCGGGGAGAGGAATCGGGAGCGCTGCCGAACTCCTGGAGGWTGTGGGTTAAATGAGCCTCTGCTGCGGAAACTCGGAGCGGCTCTACCCTACCTTTCGAACACGGGAAGAGGTGGTGTTTTGTGCTGGTTTGGGTATAGTTCGGAAGGGAGGTTGTTTGCTCGCTTTAGTGTGCTTGGTTTTAGTTTTAGTAACAGAAACGTGCTYACTGGTAGGCATTTAAACAAAACCCAAAACAGCGTACTTCAGACTGAGTAAGAGGTTAATGAAAATTGTCGTGTGTGCAGACAGTGAATAGCACTCATTTGGGTAGTTTCTGTTCCGGACCCTTCTGGGTTTTGGGGAGCTCCATTTAATTCATCGGGTGTCCGTCCTCTTTACGGTTATCATTTGAAAGTTAAAAATAACCCCCAAGCGCTCTGGGTTTTGCCTGCACCTGCCTTTGCAAACGCTGACTCCCCGGAGTTGTGCGYGGTGCTCTCGGAGCCGAAGACGCCCGGTCCGTGTCCAGAGCCCTGCTATTTATAACACTTGGCAGAGCGAGGGAGGAGGAGGAGGGATGCAGCAGCAGGCTGTTTGCCTTTTGCATAAACTACCGAGGCAGGTTGCATGTTGTCTGAGATGTTGCATCGGTGGAGGCGAGGCAGGGTGCGGGGGGGGGGGAAGAATCGCAGAAGCTGAAGTATTCCTAATCCTTCTTTTCCTAGGTACTGTGGATCTATGAAGCGCTTCCCTCCGATGTGAATGCAGTGTCCCCTGTGGGATGCAGTAGGTGATGCCCAGCTCTACTGCAATGGCAATTGGAGCTCTCTCKAGTTCTCTCCTTGTAACCTGCTGCCTCATGGTTGCCCTCTGTAGCTCCACCGTACCCGTTCAAAAACTGGCCAAGGCTCAAGACAAACAGGAGATAAAGGCCAGCCAGGAAAAGAGGGATCACACGTCTGCAAGGGACAGCCAGACAGGTCCGGGGAAAATGAATGAGATCGGCAGGAGCGGGAGGGAGGAGGGTAGCAGGGACTGGAAAAGCAAAGGGAGCAGGAACTACTCGAACAAGGAGTCCTGGACTAARCAAAAGCAGGCTTGGAACAGCCAGGGGACAGGCAGTAAATCTGGGAGCATCCAAATGCAAGAGCAAAGGGATGCTGCTCCCGAGGAACCTCAGGTGGCCGAAGATTCATCTCTCGCAGCATCTGTTGCGAGCGTCACTCCCGAGCCTCCGGAGGAGTACGCCTATCCGGACTACCGGGGCAAAGGCTGCGTGGACGAGAGCGGCTTCGTGTACGCCATCGGGGAGAAGTTTGCGCCGGGCCCCTCTGCCTGCCCGTGCCTCTGCACTGAGGAGGGCCCGCTATGTATCCAGCCCGAGTGCCCCAGGCTCCACCCTCGCTGCATCCATGTGGACACCACGCAGTGCTGCCCGCAGTGCAAGGAGAGGAAGAACTACTGCGAGTTCCGAGGGAAAACCTACCAGACCCTAGAGGAGTTCATGGTAAGGACTGAAGCCAAAACTCATTTTGCGGGTTCTTCTTTTGTTTAAAGTGGTATTATGTTCTTTAACTGCTTTCTCAGAGGGTGTTCTGGGTCTCCCCCTCCTCTTTTCATTTTTCTGTTAATATTGCTTCTGCAGTCCTGTAAATTTTCCCCTTAAACATGACCTTTCTTGCTCTAACATTTTTAAATGGGGGTGCTGATCTGTATTAATTCTTTTGGTATTTACAGTCAAAAATGCTTGGAAGGGTGCTATTCAGTGGTGTTACGGATTTTATGAAATTTTTCAGTAATATATTTCTTTCCTTATTTAACTATTAACGGTTAAACTTCTGCCTTGCAGGGGTCAAGCAGGGTTTTGTGGGCTGACTTCTATTCCTAGCAATCAGTCTGTGATGATCCCTTCTTTTTTAAGTGATTTTTTTCTCTGTTTTAACTATATAAGCAGTGCTGCCAAGGTTGCACAATGTTTGCTTTCTGAGAATGACTATGGGTCGTCTTTTTAATAATGGCATGGTCTGCAGTCCAGATTAAGGTGACACTTAAAGCTTTCCAAGCCCTTTGTTTATGTTCAGGGAAATCCTTTCAGACTAGGGCCTTTTTAGTATTGTTGTGMAAGGTCATTATCATTGAAAATGCAAGATGTTACTGTGCACTCAGAAGTTTTGGAGTTAGGGCCAGTTTTCTGGTTGTTTACCATGTCTTTTTCCATTTTATGTTTTATTGTGGTTGAGATCTGTGAGCAGACTCTAAGAATGACTTGTCAATTTTCTTGTGCATGACTGGTAAATACAGGGCTAGCCCAAAACCCACTTCTGAACACACCAGAGRGTTTCATGCTGAATATGTTGAGAGGAGTATGAAATATATCAAGGTTCAGGAAGCTGAGTCCCTCTCAGGATGGAGAAAAAGAAAATGCATTTTGTGAAGGCTGGAAAAAAGTTGCCACTTCTGCTCTCTGTGGTGTTTGCATGTTTGTGCGAACTTAACTTTGGTTTATAGCATCTTTCCATGTTCTCAATTTAGGGGAAAATAAATAAATAATGGAGCAGAACTACTTTCTCCATACTAAATAACAGTGTTGCTCTTTGCTCTTTTTAGGTAGTAATGTGCASAGCACTGGTGAATTGGCAAATATGGAAAACTTGTAATACTGTATTATCCTCCCTTTTTCCATGTCACCCTCAAGGATCGCATTCAACTTCAGGGTGGGAGTTTTCTACTTAAGAGGCAGTTGGTGTGACTTTTCCAGGGATGGCTTGTGAGATCCTTCCTTCTCCAGCAAACTTAATTCTTGAGGCGTGGCCAAAACATGAAGCTTCTCCACACATTCTCCGTAGGTCAATTTCAAAGGCTTCTCCCCACTCTTTATTCATAGTCTTTAGAAGAGTTCCCTTTCCTAGTCTTTTTATGCATGGGGTTGTATTAATAGCTGTAAAAGCAAGCCTGAAATACTGAGTTACATGTGTAGTGAGTGTAGAACTTTAATGTTCCCTGGTAGATTTGAGTATGGCTGGCAGCCTTGGTAAAAGAAGAGTGTTGAACAGTGRCATTTACAGAAATGGTCTGAAATGATTTTGGCTTTCAGCTTTCTTTTTAACTTCATTAAGCTTTCAGCCCTTGTCTTCATACCTTGCCCTGATGAAACATTGGTTCCCTCACTGCCTTGTTTCACCCAACTTTGGAAACACAAGTGAAAAGGGATGTCTGCTCAAGACAAGCAAGGAAAGTTATTGACACAGTTAGGCCATGGAACTGCAGCCTGATTATTTTCCTGTATGAGAACCTTGTTTTTCAGTTGAGCTTCAATGTTGGCTCCAATATGGTGAGCACAAACTGTAAATGCAGCTGTTTGCCACTGCAATCAGTGGAGTTGTCTGGCAACACAAGGTGCAGATGTAGTCAGCTTGCTGCTGCTCAGTGGAAGCAATTGGAAAATGCAAGCAATTGCATGGAGTTTCAGAGGTAATCTTGTGAGTTTAAAGTTGATGGTCTTAGAGAGGTTACTAATATGCTATGTCTTGATTAAGGTCAGGGAAGGGGTTATAAATGGATAGTAATGTGACTGTGTCTGCGCCTACTATTTGTGGCAAAAGTACCAGACATCATTGAAGGAAGAAAAAGGTGACCTTCTAATGTTTAAATGACATTATTTGCAGAAACATTAATGCATAGATGTGTAAATATGCATGCAGGTTTGTGAGTCTGCTTATATAAAGTTCCTGTATGGCTTGGTGTGGACACAGAATTGCCCAGCCTGGAGCCAGACCCTGAGTGTGCCAGGGAATTTGAAGTTTGATGTTTCTTCTTTGGTTTTCAGTCTGTCCTGCAGGTTTTCCTTGCGTGTGCATGTATGCATGTATTGTTCTGTTTTCAAAAAGGACATGGATGTCAACACAAAACACATCTTGGGTGTAGGGGAAGGATGAGGTCTCATAAAACTGTTTTCATCAGCACCTCTCTGTGGTGGTTCCCTGTGTGTATTGTGAGGCAGAATAACAGAGCAACCCCAGCATCCATATAAGTGGAACTGGTAGGAAAATTTTTAGTTGGTGAAATGTAATGAGGATCAAGTTCTGCACAGAAACTGGAGATTTCTAAGCATGTGGACCAAATTTTTCAAGTAAAATTTGAGAATGTTGGCTGATGTATAAAGTCATAGCCTTTCAAGAACCATAAATTATCTTCAGAAGTGTAATGTTTAGGAAAAGGCCTATATTTTTGAAAGTTGTTGCTTTGTGTTTTGTAGAATTTCCTTGCTACTACAGATTGTATTTCTTTTGTGGGTAAATTACTTGGAAATCTGAATGCCAGCAAATCCAAATGTATTTTGAAAGATCTATGGTATTTTGAAGGCACATGGCTGGTGTGTTTATTATTGTCACTGTGACCCCATTCATGTTCTCCTCAGTTGTGTAAGCKGCAAGAAAATAATAGTAAAAATTCCAGTGCAAAAGCAAGTAAGTTTGGGATTATGATTGTTTTGGGTTGTCCTTTTTTTAGGTTTAGGTGTTTGCAAGGCTCAAGGAACCAAAATTATTAATTCAGCTTTTTTGTTGGTTTGGTTTTGATGTCTTTTTGGTTAGTAATTAAAGTTTGACATGGGGAAAGCTCAAATTACTTTGGTCAACAAATGATTTGTCACTTCCTAATTAAGACAATTTGCACTAAGCTGCTGGATAAACCCACTGACCTTACTAAKCTACAGATTTCTTCACACCCCACTAAGGGAAAACATAGCAGTTTATACAATATTGCATTTGCTCTTTTACAATGTCCATTTATACCTCTGCACATAAACTTCCCTTTAAACAGTTCTGAAGAAGTAGRGTTTTTTGCCATCTGTACTCTATTTTCTACAGGTTTTATGGCTGCCTGGTGAATACACAAGGCTTCTGTTGCCTCTCATTGCCTTCCTGCAGTTTTTTGCATAGGCAGAGCTGCTGCTGCTGTGGAGTTAAGAGCTTTTTCTGTAGACCATGGAGACCCGGTATCATTAGTCTTCAGAGAGAGGTTGAGAGTTGGTATTATTTCCAGTCCGGCCTGGTTATGTCAGAAGTGCTGAGCGTGAGTGCTGCTGGGCTGGTGCTTCCCCACAGGAACGAGTGGGATGCTCCTTGCATTGGCTGCCACTGGGAACCGTCTGCAGGGAATGGCTTGCAGAGAGGGGAAATGGAGACCAAATGTGTCTTTTTATTCTGATTTATTTAGCTGCTGTTACATACACACAGTCTTACTGTCTCTCTCTCTCTAGTGATGATTATGTCTCCCAAGTATTGAGCTGCTGTTAAGGTGCAGAAAGTGGGGTTTTTCTACAGTTCCTGCTATATCCTGATGATCTATAAAAAAGCAATGCACTGCTGTTTAGTCCAAAGATGAACAGAAATGGCTGACACTGATACCATTTTAGCAGCCACCATGGTTTACTTGCTTGCCTAAAAGATCTTTGTAGAAATAGGCACRTGGAGWCCTTCCTTATCTCTGCTGCCATTAMTCAGAWTGGTGAGTTGTGCAGATGACAGTACKTACCAAGGGCATACTATAAGTATTCCCCTGAAATCTCATGATCTATTACACCAGAAGTGTCTTCCTTACTGCAATATCACAGTAACAGTGTACTGTGTTCATGAAAGATGTAGTCTTCAGGTGTATGTGCTATATAGGACAGAAATGTGTATTATGAATCATCATTATTAGACAAGAATCAGATCAGTTTTGTGTCTCAATCAAGAGTATTTTCAGCACTTCATTAAATTACTTTTCTGAAAGTTTCAGCCTATGTCAAATTTGGAAATCTATTAAACCTATTTAATTAGAATATTCTTGAATTTCACAGATGAGAGATTTAAGGAATAATATTTGTGTGTGCTGCCTTGTTTCCTGATTGTCATCAGWTATTCTAGTTTTCACACCACTTCCAGTGTTGAATGACACAGCTACTAAACAGTGTCCTGGGATAAGGAATATCTGCTGTTGTAGCTACTGGTGTCGTTGAACTTTGATGGTTGGCAGATTTGCATTTTTCCAAGTCATGACCAAAAGTGTTAAAAGCTGTAGGTTTGCCTTGTTGATCCTGGAATTGAGTTCTGATATCTTTGATCAAGATTAAAAAAAAAGATACTTTAAAATAATAGAAAAAAGTTAAAATCAGTCATCCTTTAAAACCTTGTTTTAATTAGTAATTTAGTTTAGTAAGTATTGTTTCTGGATATAACTGTAGAAGGAAGAATTCTTATTTTTGACTTGATACTTAGGAGCTCAGGTTTGCTGACACTTGAAACTTCACATGTGGCTCAAGTGATTACTTGGGATACCTGAGCCTTTCAGCACTGARCACCGGATCAGAAACTTCCTCATCTGCTTGAGACTCCGGCTGTGGAAGTGAACGTGGCAGTTTAAAAACAATTACAGGACAAAGTTGTTGTCCCAAAGTCTAATAAATATCTGCTGTACTGGGCTGTCAGCCTCCATGCAGGATTTTATAAACATACRCTGTGGTGTTATCCTTGGTGGAGTGTAAAGCAAAGAGAAAACACAACGTGAGTAGCTAGCAAAAGAAACCTGAAATAAATAATAGTAATAAAAGCAGAAAGCAACACAGCAAGAGACCCTATTTAGGCTTTCTAAGCAGAGGGGAGGGCGTGAAAGATATGTGAGTGCATGAGCAAAYAACAGCCTTGGCAGGTGGGAAGGGAAATAGCAAAGCATGAATGAGCATTTAGTTGGGGATGATGCTGTGCAAGCATCAGCATGTCTGAACTTTGGAAGTGAGAAGGATGTGAGAGGCAAGCAAGCAGAGAATGGATTTGAGCAAAAAATGTGATGGGATGCCCAAGGAATAGRGAAAAGAAGCAGATGATCTGCAAGTTAGACATCTGGGTGATTCTTCATAAAGAATAATTATTTTCATTTTTCAATTTTATTTTTTCTGCTCTTACTGGAGAAATGCAATGGTGGTTGTCTGCATCAGCTGGAATCTGGAATGGAAAAGGGTCCATAAAAAGAACACCCTCCTCCTTAAGTAAACCAGTAATCTGCACAGATTATAGATTTAGAGRATCACTATAACGTTCAGCTGTATTTTCATCTTGTGTTCTGATCACGGTACCCATGTGGTTTTTTGGAGGAGTACAGCAATGAGATTTACAGTATAACACTTAATGCTCTTCCAATCCTTGCTTCCCTCTATCTTGTGTGGTATGAGGCTGTCAGCAATGYAGTGTGGTGCACCTGGTCAGGAATGCTGAGGAGCACCGTTGGAATTGTACCTGTGGGAAATGTAGACATTTCAAAGTTCATTTTTTACTAAAGAGACTCTTGCTACTGTTTTGTTCAGAATTAATTGCTTTGAAGCAGGTATTTCAAGTAACYATCTCTTGGTATTCCTGTTCTGTAAAAGTCCTTCAAACCCAGCAACATTTCACTAGGTATAAAGGATTACTTGTATTTTCCTTCAACCCTTTCTCTGAATTGCATTTTCCTTTCAGAAAGTTAAAAGTATTAGAAGCATGGTTCAAATACAGTTAACCTGTGGGAAATACCTGAATTCAAAAGGATAAGGTTTTTTTTCCTGATATCTCTTTGAAAACAAAATTTTCAATAAAATGTAACTTCCTGCCACCAAAATGCTTTCAGACCTGGAAAAATTGCAATAAGGGTTTCCAGTAAAAAACATTCAGACTTGATTTAGCAAAACTTTTCTTCTTAAAATACAATATTTTTCTTTAAATTATTTTTWAAGCTCTATTAGAATTACATTAGATTATTAACTTAATTTTCAGGAAGTTCATTAGAAATTCAGTGGGGTAATTTTTGGTTTATTTGTATTAAAAGTCTGCACTGTTCTTGTTTTCAACATCCCTTTCAACATCCCCAGGTTTTCCTGTTTACTGCATAGGTTCAGAGAAGAACCTGTTTTGTTTTAGTTCTTTTTCTGCTGTGGTTCTGTAATTTTGCAGGAGCCCAGTCTTGCTCTCTGCATTATTTAGGCCACAAAACCCATTTGTTTCAGAGTGGGGAGGAAAAGATGCGAAGGAAAGATCATGATGAAAGGGTGGACACTGCACACTCCAGGAGTGCACTAAGTGGAGGGATTAAAGGGTGCCTGGGTTTGTGTTTCAGGTTTCTCCGTGTGAAAGGTGTCGCTGCGAGGCCAATGGTGAAGTGCTGTGCACGGTGTCAGCCTGTCCCCAGACCGAGTGCGTGGATCCCGTGTATGAGCCCGACCAGTGCTGTCCCATCTGCAAAAATGGTGAGTGACACTTGAAAAACAAGGAGGAGGCCTTTTTCAGAGAGATCCATGTTGTCCTATTCTGCTGTTGAAAAATAATTCAAATATTTTTTCTTTTTTGCTCGAATGGAGATGGAGGAGAGTCGTGTGTGGATGGTGTAATCCTGTTGTGAGGAATCAGATGTCCACTGACTGGGGTGGACTCAGTTATGATCTTTAGGGACTTTTGTTACCCAGAGACAATTAGGATGTTAATGCCAGCTGTTCATGTGTCTCCTGGATATAAAATTTGCATGAACTGATTGTGTCTGTGTTCTATATGGGCACAGAAAATGGAACTCAGACTCTTCATGTTAGCCACCTTTCAGTGTGAGCAGGAAAAGCTACTTTTGTTCTCCATTCATATTTGTTTCCCTTTCAGATATTCTTCTCCTTTTTTAGGATTTTTTTTCCTTAAGGCAAATCAGATGTACCTTATTGAGCTCATCTAATTTTCATAACTAAATGAATTAAACTCCCAATTTTAATTGAATATTTTTCATAACTAAATTAGACAGAAAGTCTTTCTACTCCCAGCAAGGGCTTGCATTAGATCAAAGTCTTAGTCTATTTAGAGGAAAAAAAAATTACATGAYATACTAGCTCATCACTTATAAAGAAGGAATGATAATTTATTAATAGAAATGAAAGCTGCAAAATCTCAAATGAAATTATATTTAAAATTAAAAAAGGCATTTAAAAATATTCAGATAATGTGCAGACATCCATTATTTCTCTTCAATAGGTAGGTTTCATTACATTAGCTAAAGCAAACTGATTAAAATAGTGGAAAAAGTGGGGGAGGAGAGAGTGTACAGCATATGGTTTCCACAAATTCAACAGTAGATGATAAGGGATTGTTAATTGCATTGGAGGAGTTTCATTTGTATGGATATAAAAGTAATTGCTTCACATCCCTTAATTGGTTGTTACAACCCTGAAGGAATTTGTTCTCAGCTGTACAGCTTAAGGGCACTCTTGTTTCTGGAGATGAGGACAGGCATTTTTCGAGGCATTTAGGGACAATTCCTGAGAAAGTCTGAATTTGGAAGCTGGTGATATCATAGCTAGCTAGTCCAAAGAATCCTTTAGCACTTGTTGRATGGCAAGAACATTGCTGATGTGGTCACAGGCTTTTTGTGTGTGACAGGCTCTGCAGTTCCCCAAGTCTTTAGCTGGCAAAAGGTTTCTTTTCCACATCAGAGATGGAGTTRCAAGCAGAATACATTAAGACTCAGTAGTCTTTCCCACTGAATTTGTTCAGTGGACTTAAATTGACTTTCCACTGGCACACRTGCTCCCACAGGCAGCAACACAATGCACAGTAGTGGCATTCTGCAGGTGATGGCTCTCTTTTGGATTAAGGTGGGGCAGCAGTGCAGGGTTTGGCTTGGCTATTCACACAGATTCCCTGACACTTTTTCCAGAAATGAGGAAAAGTTACCAAAATTTGTATATAAAACAAACCTTTTGTTTTGAGGAAGCTGCCTTTTCTCAGAGCTGTTTRAGCTCTATTATATGGGTTCTGGCAGCAAGAAAAAGGTTGTCTTGTCCTCAGCTTCTGAATCCCCAATATTAGTTGCATATTTCTCGTGTATAACCATGAGCTGGCATCTCTGACCCAGTTTCAGACCAAGGTGACCACAGCTGCCTGTTTCTAGTGAGCTGTACTGTCACTTCTCTGCATGTCAGAGAAAAAACAGTGGCTTTCCTTGTTAGCTTTTAGATTAAGAGGAAAACCATTAGCAGTAACAACAAAACCAAGATAGTTCAGAAGCAGCTCAACTTTTCTGGTTCATCAGCTTCAGTATAATATCACGAAATGCTTCTGAGGAAACCTCTCCATCTGGGGAGTGCATTTCGGGAAAAAAAAAAAAAAGGCTGTTTGCTCTTAGAGCTTATTTTAAAGTGTGGTACAAATGCAGTTCTCTAGGAACTTCAGTGAATTGCTGAATGTTTTTAATTAGATTGGAGCAAAAACCTACTGAGCAGGAAAACCTAGCCTGCCTCATCCTCTCATTTTCAAGCCTGCTGGAGCAAATGTGCTGTGAATGTGAGTTGGAGAAATAGTCATTGTGTTGTGCTGCAGGGTTGATTGTTACAGCAATGACATCAATGACATCATGTTGGTGACACGAAAGAGCTTTGGGTGATATACAGGGAGCTCAGCCASAAAGCCATAAGGATGGGAAAGGTGGAGCCATGGAGAGAATAAAAGTGGGGTAACTGCTGTCATGATCTGCAGTAGAGCAAGAAGGGGTGGGAGGTGAAGTTTRGGATTTCTACATTTACGAGCATTTGTGTGTTAAAAATGCACACAATCAAACTGATTTCCCTYCCTTTCCTGCCACTTCCTAATATTGAACACCTTCCCAACTTGCCTGGTCTGCAGATTGCTAGCAGTGACCCAGCAGTGAGAGCTGAGTGACTCCCTCTGTCACTGGTAAGAAAATATACTAATGCCTGATTAAGAAATACAGAGTTCTGGTGAAAGCTTGTGATTATTAGAAATTAATGAATTCAGCATCTTGACAGGTGTGAGACACTGCACCTTGTCTCTTGTGGGAAGGAGGGTATGTAGTTGACTTCTCCGACCTATTTTCACAAAAGTGCTGGCAACCCTTACAAGGAGGGACAGATGTGTAACTGCACATCAGGCTTACATAACTGTGCATGTGTGTAGGTACAGACTTGCTTTGAATGTAAGAAGTAGCGAATGGAAAACTTGCGGAATTAAAGAATAGTTGTATGTGTACTATTTAATAATCTTCTGTATCACATCCTGACTTTCAAAAAGAAGCCTGGATACTTACATAGCTGAAGATATTTTTTTCCTTTGTGGATAGGTACAGGGGGTACTTAAAAAGAAAAATTTGTTCTGAAAAGTAATATATAGAAGAGACAAAAGGTGATACCTCACTGAGAAGATCGGTGGTTAGGGKAATTTTCCTGTTTTTTATGTCTCAAGTCACTGCAAGTGAGGGAGCTGTTTTCTGTTTATTTCATACAAATGCCCTGAAGGAAAACAGGGTGAGGACAAAGGGGGATGGAGGAAGAGCTTCTTTGTCATGTGGATTGACATGTTGAGCTTCATGCTTCTGGTAACCATCAGCACCAGCCACCAAAAAAAAAAGTATCCAGAAAGTTAAATCTGAGTTCAGAAAATTGCATCCAGTAACAGATGCCCAGTTCAAATCTCCATCCATCTTTACAGTATTAGCATTGTGGTTACTTTTGTGGCAGCCATCCCTGTTCACAGCAATATCAATAAGCCTAGATTCAGGTACAGACATTTCTACARTCATTGCAGAGTTAAGTGTAGAGATAATGGGCATACTGTTGCCTTTCCATTGGGAAAAGGCTGGCTACTTGACCAGTGATGCATTTGTGGTCGTGGAAGGGGGTGGGGGGATAATACTGGTAGGAGTTATCTTGCTCTAGATGAAATTACCTTGGTTGCATGTTCCACTTCTATTCCCAGCATTAGAGCCCTAACAGGCACGCACAGCTGAGTTCTGTTCTGCCTGAAGCCTGCAGCCACGGAGCAGCCGATGGAGTCAAGGGTGGCCCCACTCCTGCCGGTGTCTTTGCAGGAAGATGAGATTAAACTTGCAGCCYACGTGGAGCCTGAGGGGGAGTTGTGGTTGCTAGACCAAAAAACGTTTTGATCTAAGGTCCCTGAGAGATTTTTATTTCATTATATGGCTGAAAGATTGCCCCAGATAAAATGAAGCGGATCCTGTTGCCTTCCTAGCGTTTATCTGTCTGAGTGCCAGCGTTGTTTCTCTGTCTACAGCAGGGAGAGCTGAGCTTTTCCTTTTGGCAAAGGCTCATAGCTGTRCAGTCAAAAATAAAAACACTGATGCCCGGAGGGTCAAGTGTGTTGTCAGGGCTGCAACATTTGCAAGAGATGTCTGTTCTTACTGGCTGTGCAAAAGGGAGCCTTTATTCTCATTGCAGTCATTTCAGGTGCCTTAGGTGGAATGAGTCAGGACCTGATTCGATACTAGTGTTCATAGTTATGCTTGAAATACATGCATCATGTGGTTGAAATGATTTCTRGTGAGGTGCAGATCTAATGTGCTGTGCCCAGGGAGGGCGGGTGTGCTGGTTTTGTATCCCTGTGCTGTGAGGTTGGCTCACTGAAACCTCCTTTAGTACCTTGGTGTAAAATTACAGTGTTTAGGCACAAGGTGACTTGAGAGGCTTTGGAATGGCAGGTGGGGTCCTCCATTGGTGAGAAGGAGCTCTCAGGGGAGCAAAGCCCTGGTAACAGCTGGCAGAGCTGCTGTCCCCTTYTGCCACTGTTCAAACAGTGGGGTTTGGTCTCTCCTCGGGACTCAAATCTGTTAAAAATGGTGCTGCTAGAGGAAGCACTCTTGCCTCTGTCATTCCTCTAAGATCCAGGTGGAGAGAGGCTGTGCTGGGCTGAGAGACCTCTCTGGCCATAACAAAGATGAAGGTGTTCATTCTGGGCTGATAAAGGGAGGCTGTACCTTGGCTACTCTCATGTGAGCTGGCTGTTTGCTCTTCCCTGCAGCCTCACCTTTGCTCAAGTACCATGGAGAATCTGACCTGTAAAATTTAATGTCCTTCTGCAGTGTGTTTAAATAAAATATGATATGACCTTGACCATGAATGCCTTAATCTCAGCAATGAAGAAAGTATCATTATGCTGCTGTCCAGGTAGAGGTCAAGGCAGGACTATTGCAAACATCAGGAATGTAACTGCTGTAAAATTAAAGTAATCAGTGTCTTTGATTGTCCTCTCTTCYTCTTTCTATTGTCACTTTAAATACCTTTTTCAGTCATGCTTTAGCAGCTGATTTATGTACAGCAAATGAGATCCAGAAGTTTTAAAGCCTGAGAATGGTTTCTTCAGTCTACGATATAAGGAGGGGATGAAATCAGGTGGTCATGGTGGTCACTCCTACATGTAAAATGTATGTATCATAAAATGATTGTAAATTCTAGTTGATAAA